ATAGATAGATAGATAGATAGATAGATAGATAGATAGATAGATAGATAGATAGATAGACCGATCAATCAAATCAATCAATCAAATTTATATAGCCACCCATGTCACAAGAAGTGACTCTGGGCTGCATACAATGATCAGGTAAAACAATATATAAAAACAATTATAAATATAAAACAATCATTATTAAACATTTAAATATACAAATCACAGGGCACAGGAAAGAGTGAATATTAACCTTAGAATCTTAGAATGTCACCAGTTCCCTGGGACCTCCAGGCTTAATGACATAACCAGGTCTTGAGGGATTTCTGGAATGTTAACAGGGATGGAGCTAACCTGACTTTGGGGGGGGGGGAAATATAGTTGGATGTATAGCAAAGGAAACAGAAATGAAGCCTGAGAAAAACTAATTTTCTGCCACTCCAGTGATTTCCTTATTGCTAACACATCACCATATGGACACCACCAGATGGAGAACACAGAAATCAAACTCTGGTACAAGGAGGTGAAAGAGATGTTATAACAGCAAGAACATGTATATAATGAGGGAGGCTAGATTGGAAGATGACTAGAAGATGAGTGTGGTTTTAATATTGGAGGAAGAAATCAATAACCTGTGCTATGCTAATGACATTCCTCTGACAACTGAAAATGCAAATGATCTTGAAGCTCTAGTAATGAAGTCAAAGAGCACAGTGGAAAAATGAAACCACGATTTACTGTAAAGACGACCAAATTAATAACTGGCACAGCAACTACCTTAGAAGTGACAATGAAGATACTGAAGCAGTTGTCTTTAGGACTGACTATCAACAGTAAAGGAACCAGCAGTTAAGAAATATGTCTCAGGCTAGCACTTGGTAGGCTAACAATGAAGCCCTTGGAAAAGATATTCAGATGGGTGACATGTTAGACATACAGAAATCAGAACTGTGTAGGCAATGGTTTTGTTCCTGTGACACTCTAAGGAAATGACAGTTGGACAAAGAAGCAGGACAGAAAGGGTATCGATGCTTTGGGGTCAACATTCCTGAGAAAGTCATAGATAGCCAGGAAAACATCCCCCCATTGGGGGGAGATGGGCGGGGATACGTTTGAGAGAGAGAGAGAGAGAGAGAGAACGAACAAATGGATCATAGAACTAATCAAGCCAGAGTTTTCACTCAATGCACAAATAACAGATTAAAATTTTCATATATTGGATACATTATGCAAAGAACTAGTTCTCTGGACAGCTCTATAATGATGGGAAAGGAGGGAGGTAAGAGAAGAGGACAACCAGTTAGATCTATTACATCCCTCCTTTTTGCTTAGTTTCACAAATATAAATGTATATATTTTTTTCTTTCATTTTTTAATTCATGCTCTTTCATTTACTCCTCTTTTATTACAAATCATAGTCTTCTATGTGTTATAGTCATCACCAGATAGGCTCATAGATACTGATCTCCACTACCCATCCTGCTTTGGTCAATTGAGAATTTTATATAATGCTTTTAACAAGGTAGAGATGATAGAGATTAGGTTATTAGTTTTACCATTGCTTGTATGCTTGTGGCAAATGCAGCATTCACTGCTAATGGTAAAATCAGTCAGCTGGTCATTTTGGCCAGCATGCCACAAGTGGAACCAAAGTCCCATTTTATTGCAAGCACGCTAGGCTCTCTGTTTTAACAAGCAAGATAGTCCTTGCAGTATACTGATAGACTCATGATACTTATTATTTGTATAAAAATGAACTGAACTCTGAATAGTTGAATGGGATTAGAATATCTTCCTCTCCTACCCTTGATTATTAAATAATATAAAATACTGGGTTTGAGGGAGTAAAATTAAAAAAAAAAAATCAGAGAACAGAAAAGATTGAAATGTTAGGAATCTAAGAGAAAGGGACCCCAATTTTTTTAGACTTAATTTTCTCTCCAAGTTCTCTATTTCTAAACTATTTCTACTTGTATTGAACTTGCATGATTAATTTCATTATCCATTCTAACTTGGCCCTTACTTAATTTTTAGAACTTTCTCTCTCATACTGGATATCTACTTCAATCATCATTTTGTATACACAAAATGCCAAATATTAAACTTATTTTATAATAAATCTTTGGAATAGGTCAGTACTCCCCATTTTACAACTGAAGATCTATTCGGAGAGTCAATCAAATTCTAGTGAGCAAACCAATCTCATACTTGTATCATATTACAGTCCCAAAATTCAGGAGAGCTTTATCCTTAGCTTGATTTAACGCTCTCC